GTGTGTGTGTGTGTGTGTGTGTGTGTGTGTGTGTGTGTGTGTGTGTGGTGTTAGGCATTGGAGCCAGGAGCTCATTTGTGTAGAGGAAGCTTTCTACCACTAATCTACACCCCAGGCCCTTGGGGTTGTTTGTTTGTTTGTTTGTTTGTTTGTTTGTTTGTTTGTTTTCTGTTTGTTTTTGCAGGGAACCAAAGCCAGGGTGTCACATATGCTGGACGAGCACTCTACTTCTGAGCTGTCTCCCCAGCTCATTTTGTCTTTGTAGAAAAAGCATTGTGCTTAGTATCCCAGGCTGGTACTTGGTTCTGGGTTACTCTGTCTTAGCCTCCCAAGTACTGAGGTCATAGTTGTGTGCCACAAACAACACAAAAATCATACAAAGTAGTTTTAAAAGTTCCAGGTGTGTCGGCTCATGCCTGGAATCCCGGCACTCAGGAGGCAGAGGCAGGTGGATCCCTGTGAGTTCAAGGCCAGCCTGGTCTACAGAGCAAGTTCCAGGATAGTCAGGGCCACATAGAGAAACCTTGTCTTGAAAAACCTAAAGAAAGAACAGAAAGAGAAACATGACCCAGAAGTCTTGCTGTAACTTGTGTGTTTTTGCCTCACAGGGTTCCTTGGAGATCCTTCAAAGTATGGATGATGACCCGCTTCTGGACACCCAGCCTCTCCCACACCACTCCTTACAGGCTCACTTTAGACCCAGATTCCACCCTCTTCCTACCGTCATCATAGCGAATCTGCTGTTGTTTATACATGTGAGTTCAGTGCTACATGTGAGTTCAGTGCAGCGCTGCTCTTTCTAAAAGCGCACCAGCGTGGAGGTGGCGAGATGGCCCAGTCATAAGATGCTTGAGGAGCTGGGTCCCCCCCTCCAACGGGAGGACTACACTCCCAACAAAGGGGAGGTGGACACAGGAGGAACCCTGGGACTCTGGCAAGCCTCATCTAATAGGAGGTGAGCCCCAGATCCTCCTGAGAGACTCCATCTCCAAAACCCAACAACAAGGCAGATGTCTCCCAAAGAACAACACCTGCATTGTCCTCTGACCCCCCAGGTGCATACACGCGTGTGCACACACAGAGGGTGTAAGCTCTTTGGGGGGGTATTTGGGATATATCTATGAACTTTTAAACTGCATATATATATATATATATATATATATATATATATATATATATATATATATATAGTTGTTGTTTTGTTTTTTTGAGATAGGGTTTCTCTGTGCAGCTTTGGTGCCTGCCCTGGATCTCACTCTGTAGATCAGGGTGGCCTCAGACTCACAGAGATCTACCTGGCTGGGATATGTGTATTGTACAAATTTTTGTGCCCATACTTCAAAGAATGTATTGTAGAGATGTTTGTAAGGACATTGCTAGTGGCAATGTGATTGTCATACTAAGAAATCACAAAGTACCCGGTATTCTGAAGACGACTGTTTTTCCTCCTGCATTCCGGGCTAGCTGGTCCATGAATAGAAACACTGCCTCCAAACAGGGTAGAAGGAGAGAATCCACTCTGGAAAAATTGACCTCTGATGTCCATATTCATGCCCTAGCAAAGTGCACACACACATGCACAATAAATTCACAAAGCCAGGCTTAGTGATACATACCTGTAATTCCAGCACTTGGAAGGCAGAGGCAAGCAGTCTCTGTGAGTTTAAGGCCAGCCTGAGCTACAAATCAAGTTCAGGCCAGTCAGGGCTGTATAGTGAGACCCTGTCTCAAAAAAACCCAAAACATGCCTGTAATGTTGATGATTAGTAGGCAGAGGCAGGAAGATCAAAGTTAGAAGTCAGTCTGGGCTGTATACTAAGACCTTAGCCTTTTGATAAATTCATATGTGAATTTGTTCATTAGTGCATATGCAGATCCATGTTAATTTTAATATATTATCTATTTAATTTTAATAGTCTGTCATTCCTTTTCTAAGTTCCCCATTCATCAGACTTCATTAGAAGGTGGACTGTGCCCCAAGAGACCGGCTCTGGAGGACAGGACGGTACATTCTAGAAAGCTCTGAGTTCCGCTGACTGCTGACCCATCTCTCATGTCACAGCCGAGACTCACTGCTGCACAGCTTTCTCGTTTGACTGTGTTATGGGCCTCTGTCCAAATCAGTAGAGGCTAGCTTATGGGCCAGTGGGTGATAATGCCTTCAAGTATTTGGACATGCACATGGAATGCTTTTTTTCCCCTGTTTTTAAAGTCAAGGTCTCAACTTGTAGAATTCAGAGATCTTCTGCATATAATTTTATTAGTTCTTAAAATTGTTTTAATTTTAATTATGTGGGGAGGGGGAGTGCAGATGTCCTTGGAGGCTAGAAGAGAGAGTATCTGATCCTCCAGGCTTGACATGGGTGCTGGGGACCGAACCCTTGAGGTCCTCTGCCGGAGCTGTTTGCACTCTTAGCTGCTGAGCCATCTCTCCAGTGCTTATTAATTGCTTCTGAGATGACCAACTCCTTTTATACCTCTTTTTTTCAATAAAAGAGAAAGGCATAAAAGTTCAACATTCAGTGATCATCTCCTTAAATGGGATTTAGGGCGATTTTTATTTTCTTATTTGTGATTTTTGTCTGTGTTCTAGATTTCTTGCATTTTTCTCTTTCAAAATGGGTATGGGATCTCCCTGTATAGCCCAGGCTGACCTCGAATTCTCCAGCCTCCTGAGTATTCGGATGACAGACATATCATCTGTCTACAGCTCCCACAGTTCTTCAGAATGCCTTTGGTAAAAAGTTTTTACAGTCATTTGTCAGAGTAGGGTAGCCTAAGTCATACAGTCTTTTAGGAAGTGGTGGTTCCTGTTTCCTAAACCCATATATTTATGCTGATTTGTTATTACACTGATGTGTGAGAGTGCATGTTCACTCCTGTGTGCATGCAGGTACATGTGCCACAGCACACGCTGAAGTCAGGACAGCTTACAGGAATCAGTTCTCTTCTTCCACCTTGTAGATCCTGGAGTCACACTCAGGTTGCCAGTCTTGGGGACAGGTCCCTTGGCCCACTGAGTCATCTCGCCGGTCCTGACCGCAACCTACATATTGACTGTGAATCCTGCTGCTTTTCTTTCCCCAGGTTGTGTTTGTTACTTTGGCGTTTTTAACAGGCGTGCTGTGTTCGTATCCTAATCCGAATGAAGACAAGTGCCCAGAAAACTACACCAGCCCACTGAAAGTTCAGACAGTCGTCATCCTTGGGAAAGTTAGCCTGTGGATTCTGCATGTGCTTCTTGACCGCTACATCCACTATCACCACAGCAAAGTCAGAAGCCGCGGCTATTCCCAGATCTACCGGTCTACGAGGCGTCTCAAAACACTCCCCCTCATGGTCCACTCTTCTGGTAAGCCTTGCATCTCTCAGCTGCTCTGCAGCTTGAGTCCCAAAGGTGATAAAAGGACATGTGGAATTAGACTTTATTGATTTTATATTCAAATACAGTCTCTTTTTGAGAGTGATACATATTGTAGCCGCTATCCTGAATTTTTCTTTTGGTGGGAAGAAGGATTGAACCCAAAACTTTGGGCATGCTACGCAAGCACTCTCCGACTGAGCTGTGTCCCACCCGCCTCTTGAAGCTTTTCTTCCAGTCTGTGCTGTTTTGATTTAGGATCTCACCGTGTCTTGTAGGCTGGCACTCCTAGAACTCTCTTTTCGATCAGGCTAGCCTCCAACTAATGGCAATCCTCCTGTCTCTGCCTCCCAAGTCAGTGCTAGAATTACAAATTTTGTGTCGCCATGCTGGGCAGATGGCCTTAATTTTCATTTGAAATTTCTGTTTGCTGTGGATGTGATATGAGTGCATCCCTTTTCCAAATGTAGAATTTTCCACCTTTTTGGTACCAGCCTGCTGACTTGCTCCAGGAGGAAGGATGCTGCCTGCTGCTGTTGATATGTCGGAGGATTAGAAAGGGTCTCTGCATTTACAAGGTGGAGGCAGGAGCCCCCGGAGTTCAAGGCCAGCCTGGGCTACATGAGAGACCTTATCTTAAACAAACAAACAAACAAACAAACAAACACCTCACCCCATAAAAGGATTTTTAAAATGAAGTTTAGTGATTTTTGTGCTATAGGAAATAATGATAACAATTTGCTAGGAGATAGACAAATAAGCTATATTATTCAAAACAGAAAACTCAAAAACAGCTATGTCTTAAGCCCGGCCTCACCAGGCCTAGGCCTGCCACCTGGGAGACCGAGCAGGAGAATCATGGTATCAAGGCTTGCTTGGGCTACGGGGTGTGTGAAGGTTACCCCGGGTAACTTAGTGTCGAGGAGCAGCAATTCCAGTGCTTCTGGAAGAAGAGAGTGGAAGAGAGGAGGTGTCACCAGGGGACCAGAGCGGGCACAGCTCCCGAAAGGCCTCCGTCCTGGGTCCAGTTTGCATTCCTGTTTTATACACTAAAACGACAAGGCGATTTTCCAGAGGCATACATGGCAATCAGCAGGTTGTTAAAGACAGCAAGCCATGGTTTCAGCTGTTTCTCCAGGTCGTCATGTCCCAGGTAGCAAGGGAAGTTGTGCTTGGCATATAGGCAGGAGAAGCAGTGCTTTAAATAAGTCCCTAAATAAACCAGTGAGTCAATATCTAATGACCAACCGGTCTTTTCTACCTTATTCTACTTCATTAGTGTCTGAGGGTTCTGTTGCTGTGAAGAGACACCATGACCATGGCAACTCTTATAAAGGAAAACGTTTCATCGGGGCTGGCTTACAGGTTCAGAGGTTTAGCCCATTGTCATCATGGCGGGAAGCGTGGCAGCTCACAGGCAGACATGGTGCTGGAGAAGGAGCCTAGAGTTCTACATCCAGATTGGCAGGTAGCAGGAAGAGAGAGATACATTGGGTCTGGCTTGAGCATCTGAAACCTCAAAGCCCATCCCCAGTGACACATTCCTCCAACAAGACCACACCTACTCCAACAAGCTCACACCTCCTAATAGTACCGCTCCTGTGAGCCTATGGGGGGTATTTTCATTCAAACCATCACAATTAGTGAGACCCTACCATAAAACAAAACATAAAAATCGGATTCAGAATGCACTTGTGATGAAGTACTTGCTTATCTTGTACAAGGCCTTAGGTTGAATCCCTGGTACCCCACACATGCAGGAGACAGACAAGGAAAGTCTCATGGGTCCTGACTCAAGGCGTGATCAGTAGCAGCACACATGGTCTGGCCTGCTTCTCTCTATTGTTGTGGGGCTTTCAGAGGTTTAATATATTTAAATTGAACTGACCTAGGGACTTTTGACTCTGTCAGATTTTGTCCGTAGAAAGACCTCTTCAGTTCTACAGAATTGAAGTTTTCTTCTGTATTCTATCAGTATATTACCCTAAGCAGTGGTTCTCAACCTTCCTAATGCTGTGACCCTTTAGTAGTTCCTCATGTGATGACTCCCAACCATAGAATTATTTTTGTTGCTGCTTCCTAACTAATTTTGCTACTGTTCTGAGTCATAATGCAAATATTTTTAGAGATACAGGTTTGCCGAAGGGGTCTTGACCCACAGGTCGAGAACTGTTGTGAAGGGTAACCTATAAGCTCATCCACTCACCAGGGGTCTTAGTGGAGGTTCCTTGAAAGAACACTGTAAAGTGGGTCACCTTGACTGAGCCTCAGTGAGTGGGTAGAGGTCATTGCTTCTGGACTCTCCTGGGGATGAACGTGAGTTCTAATGGATGTGTAGCCACCATGTGACCAGAAGGTGTCACCATAACACAAAAATAAATCAGGAACTTTTTAACCACTTTACCTACCTTATATGGGACAAGAGTAAAGAATACTGTCAGTAATGATCTAGAAATAACTGTTTGTTTCAAAATCTGAAAGTAATAGTTTTGAAATTCATGAAGATTTGGTTTTTACTTTCTTAAAATCTGACTTTCAGCTAGGTATGATGCCACCTGAGCCCTTAGGAGGCTGAGGTAGGAGAAGGATCAATGAATTCAAGGCCAGCCTACACAGTGTTGAGACCCTGTGTCAATAAATATTTTTTTTTACATGTGCAGAAGAACCAAAGAAGCCAGTTTAGTATTTCTGTAAACTGAAGAAACCATTCCTTAGTTTTAAAACAAGGTCAGATTGTAGTGAGTCTTTCTCTGTCCCACCAGCCAGCTCCCAAATCATGACACAGAGACTTATTATTAATTATGAAAGCTTGGCAAATAGCTTAGGCTTGTTTCTGACTAGCTCTTACAACTTAAGTTAACCCATATCTTTGAATTTGTGTTCTTTTTCATGGCTCAGTGTAATGCCCATGCTGCGTGCTCTGCATCCTTCCTGACCCCCTTCTTCCCAGTGTCCTCTGTGCCTGGAGATCCTGCCTAGCTATTTAGAGTTCAGCTTTTTATTAAAGCAATCAGTGTACAAAAGGATTAAACATCACATTCTTTGGGTGTTGTTCCCCCCCCCCCTTTGTTTTTGTTTTTGGTGTTAGGAGCCAAACCCAAGGCTTCAAACTTCCCCAGCAAACATCTTGCCACGGAGCTAAATCTTCAAGTCCTTGAGTTTTGGAGATGAGGTCTCATGTAGTCCAGGATGGTCTCAAACTCGCTATGTAGGCTTCGTCCTCCTGCTTTTTGAATTCCAGGGTTACAAGCTGGTCCTTGATTTTATGTGGTTCTGAGGACTGAACCCAGGTTGTCATCCATGCTGGGCAAGCATTTTACAGGTCAAACTATTGCCCTCCAGATTATTTATTTATTTATTTATTTATTTTAAGAATTTACATTTCTAACCTCTTGAGCTTCCCCAACTGGGGCCAGTGGGGCAGAAGTTCCAACCCTCTAATTGCTGGTCCTTTTGGTGACTGGACCCATGCCTAGGCTACGTAGAGCCCACCCTTATTAGCATAAATGCTGTCTTGACCTTAAGGGTTTGATATAGATAACAACACAGTTCATTCTTTCATTTAGGAAATCACTTAAGGAAGTGGGATACATAAGTAAACAAACAGGTTATGGCCAGCAAACCAAAAGGAACTTGGAGACCAGCGTCCCATCTCTGCCTGTCTCCTTCCTTCCTCAGGCAACACGGCACTGCTCCTCCTCCTCTGCGTACAGCATTCCTTCCCTGAGCCCGGCAGGCTGTACCTGGAGCTGATGCTGGCCGTCCTGGCCCTGGAGCTGATCTGCTCCCTGAGCTGTCTGCTGCTGTATGCAGGTGAGAGCGGGAGCCGCTGTCCTGGGACCCTGCCTGCCTCTGTCCTGCGCACTGGGAAGCATAGCCTGTCCCTTTAGTGAGAAGCCTCCCCGTCAGCTGGGGACTCCTTTAGCACCCCCCGTCTCTCACTTCTGACCACTTCCGGTCTTCTCTCCTTTCACACTAACAGAAGAGACAACCACTACCCGTGAGTCAGTTTTCTACGTTTGTGTCATCCATAGATGGGGGATCCTTTGAGTCATGTCACGTGTCTCACAACTGCCAGTGACTCCACTCCAGGGGATCCAGTGCCTCTGGCTTCGTGAAAGCACTGGCGCATACCCTCAGACACACAGTTTACAATTTTTAAATAAGAAAGAATGTTCAGCTAACTAAAGTGAAGCTTTTTGGGAAACAAATCAACAAATGTGTTTCCTATAAGGTAGTGGTTCTCAGCTTTCCCAGTGCTGTGACCCTAATACAATTCCTCATATTGTGGTGACCACAATCATAAATTTATTTTCCTTGCTACTTCATAGCTGTAATTTTGATACTGTTATGAATTGTAAATATCTAATATGTGACCTCTGTGGAAGGGTCATTCAACCTCCAGGGGAGTCATGACCCACAGTTTGAGAACTGCTACAAAGCAACCAGAATGACCCTGGATTTATAGCCAATCCCCTGCCTTTGCCTTCCAAGCTCTGGGATTATAACCAAGTCAGCAAGCTAGGCCCTGCATGTAAATTTGGCATCTAAATTAAAAACAAAGGCCAGGCCAAGCACACACACATTTAATCTCAATATTTGTAGGGAAGACCCACATGGGTCTCTTCTGAGTTTCAGGCCATCCTTGTCTACATAGTGAGACTCTGTCTCAAGAAAAAAAATGAGTACTCACTTCATGATGTGGTCTTGAAAATGGAATGAGGTCATCCTCTAGGACACTCAAGCTGTGTTCATGTGTTGTAAATGTTATTGCTATTATTGTTACTAATGATAATCTCGACATTCCCTGTAAGTCCTTGCTTAGTTGACTGAAATGTTGTAAGTATGGTTGATAAACAATTGTATTCAGACTGTTTACTCATTATGAAATCTCTTATTATCTATGCAAAAAGAGTAACCAATTAGTATCTCTTGAATAAATGAACATAGGAATTTCTTCAGAAATAGGTAATCTGATTAAAAACGGTTTTATTGTTTCAGTGAAAGTTAGGAGATTCAATAGAGCCAAGCCACAGCCTGACGTACTTGAAGAAGAAAAAATCTCTGCTTACCCCAGCAGTGCGGCCTCTGAGACCGGCTTCAGGTAAGGCGTGAACAGGCAGTGAGAAGTCAGAAAGAATTAACTTTTTCCCTTCAGTTACCTGATGGTGCGAACCTCCGATTCTGTCTGCTGGGGCTGCCTCCAAGGAGGCAGGGTGGATCCCTAGCCAGGCAATTTAGCAAAGTCTTGACCCAAAATAATTTTTTTAAAAAGATTTATTTATTTATTATGTATACAGCATGTATGACTACAGGCCAGAAGAGGGCGCTAGATCCCATTACAGATGGTTGTGAGCCACCATGTGGTTGCTGGGAATTGAACTCAGGACCTCTGGAAGAGCAGTCAGTGCTCTTAACCTCTGAGCCATCTCTCCAGCCCCCAAAATAATTTTTTAGTCAGTTTTTAATAAAGGCTAAGAATGTAGTCAGAGGCCCTGTGTATGAGTTTCAGGGTTCATCCCTAGTCTCTCTCTGTCTGTCTCTGTCTCTCTGTCTCTGTCTCTCTCTCTCTCTCTCTCTCTCTCTCATACACACACACACACACACACACACACACACACACACACACACACACACACCCCTAGGAGACTGAGGTGGGAGGACCCTAAGTTGGAGGCCAGCAGACAGAATTTTATCTCAGGCCAGGTGGTGGTGCATGCCTTTAATCCCAGCACTCTGTGAGTTTGAGGCCAGCCTTGTCTACAGAGTGAGTTCCAGGAAAGGCACCAAAGCTACACAGAGAAACTCTGTCTCAAAAAACAAACAACAAAAAAAAGACTTTTATCTCAGAAAAGTAAGTATTTTCTTCCCATATAACTTTCCTCTGTACTGTAATGTAGGCAGTCATACCGCTTTTTGGTTTTTTTGGAAACAGATCTCACTATGTAGTCCTGGCTGGCCTTGAATTCAGAGAGCCACCTTCCTCTACCCATTAGGATCAGAGGCATACACCACAACTCTAGATCTATCATGTTTTTAAAGAGCCTTCATTACTGAATAATCAGATTGTTTATAATTGTTTCTGTTATAAATAATATTCATTCAAGAACAAAATTCTTATAAATTTTAAAATGAGCAAGTATTACTCCTAGGAAAATAGAAGTTTGTATATGAAATATAATAAATACCTTAGCTTAGCTGTGAAAACTAATTTGTATCATGATAATGTAGATTCTGAATAAGGATTTAACATAAAATTGCCATGTCATTCACTGGATTGAGAGGATAGACACGTGTGATGTGAATATGGACTTGGGGAAAGTAGGAGCTAAGCCCTGATGTTTGTTTTTTTGTTTGTCTGGGGTTTGGGGTCGGGTCTTGCTATGAGTTTGAGGCTAGACTCTTGCTTGTGATGTTGCTGTGTAGCCCAGGGTAGACACCAGACTCTTGCTTGCTGTGTTGTTCTGTAGCCCAGGGTAGACTCAGACTCTTGACTCTTCCCTTGGCTTCCTTAGTGCTGGAACTCACTATGTAGACCAGGCTAGCCTCCAACTCACAGAGATCCACCTGCCTCTTGCTTTGTTTTATGTAGTTCAGGGTGTGAGTTCCACAACAGCCAGAGTTACTTAAGAGAGAGACCCTGTATTTGAGAGAGAGAGAGAGAGAGAGAGAGAGAGAGAGAGAGAGAGAGTGTGTGTGTGTGTGTGTGTGTGTGTGTGTGTGTGTGTAGGCAGAGCTTTCCTGTCCTGACTGCCTACTCCCAAATAACCAGCAGCCACTTCCCAAATAACTGACTTGGAGACTTAATATTAGTTGTAAATGCTTGGCTGATAGCTCAGGCTTGTTACTAGCTAACTCTTACACTTAAATTAACCTATATTTTTTATCTATGCTCTGCCACATGGCTCATGGCTTGTTACCTCATTTTCTACATGGCCTGCTTCCTCAGCTGCTGGCTGGCTGGCTGGCGTCTCTCTGACTCTGCCCTTCTTCTTCCCATCATTCTCCTAGTTTGGTTGTCCCACCTATAATTCCGTCCTGGCTACGGGTCAGTCAGCTTTTTATTAAACCAATCTGAGAAACAAATCTTCACAGTGTACAAAGGGATTATTTGTATACTGTGTATATATACATGTGTATGCATGTGTATGTATGTGTGTATGTATCTGTATATACGTATCTGTGCATGTATGTATGTGTGTGTGTGTGTGTGTGTGTGTGTGTGTGTATGTATGTATGTATGTATGTATGTATGCCTGAATGTATTCTTTTATATAGTGGCTTACAGGCTGTGGTCTACGTAGGCCAGCAATGGCTGTCTCTGGACACAAAGGTCAAGGGTCTGGTAGTTGTTCAGCCTATGGGACTGGCTGTCTCAGCAGTCCTAATTTGGCTCTGGAGTCCCAGAGGAGTGCTGGAGAGCTGCCAGTTTTCAGTCCACACTGGGACCCTGAGGAAGTCAGTTCCAGCACCAGGAAGGAGGGGCTCCAGAGCAGGACAGGTGGACTTGCCAGTGAGAGTGAGGACACAAGCAGAAAGCAGAGCTTCCTCGTCCATGTCCTTTCTGAGTGCAGCCATCAGGAGGGGTGGCCCAGATTTGCAGGGTCTTCATCTCAAATGATCCCACCAAGAAGAATCCCTCCCAGGAGTGCCTAGGGCCTTGAGTTTTACTTAATCCCAGATGAAGTCAAGTTAACAACCAACATTAGCCATCATAGGCATCCCTATCAAATTAGGAGGATACTGCTTTTCGGGGCTGTGGGGTGTTGAGACAGGCTCTCACTTTCTATCCCTGGCTGTCCTGGAAGTTGCTAGGTAGACCAGGCTGGCCTCGAACTCACAGGGATCTGCCTGCCTCTGTTTCCTGAGTGCTGGGATGAAAGGCATGCACCACATGTTGACTTTACATGTTTTTAAAATTATTTTTATTTTTCTTTCCTTATTTATTTTTGGTTTTTCAAGACAGTGTTTCTCTGTGTAACACTGGCTGTCCTGGATCTCAGAGATCCAACTGCTTCAGAATACTGGGATTAAAGGCTGGGCCACCATCACCTGGCTCACATGTTGACTTTAAATTGTAAAACTTTTTTCTTTCTTTTTTTTTTTTTCAGGACAGTGTTTCTCTGTGTATCCCTCGCTGTCCTGGAACTCAATCTGTAGACCATTGTGACTTCAAATTCACAGATATCCACCTGCCTCTGCCTCCCAAGTGCTGTGATTAAAAGGATGTGACACTACCACCCAGTTTAAATTATAAAAATTTTAGCAACTTTTTTGGGCAAAAAAAAAAAAAACCTAAAAATAAGTAAAAGTAAAGGCAATATGTACAAAACAGATTGATTTCCAGAGTGGAAGTCACTAAGTCTGTTCATGAAAGACTGATTTTGGAATATCCCTGGTGCATAAAACCCAAGGGAAAATACTGGGCACAGTGTGCCTTACTGAATACCACTGAGGACTCATTTGAAATGATACCAAAGAATGTTGGTGAATTTGTGTAACCTGTTTATGTCTTGACTTCTGCAGGACTATATCACACCTAGAAGAAATTGTTGAAAAGCAAGGAGACATAATAGCATATCTGAAGCGACACAATGCCCTCCTGAGTAAGCGGTTGCTGGAACTGGCCTCTCAGCCAGCTAGAACATGAGAGGCTCCTGGGCACGACAGCTGAGGAGTCCACGTCACTTCAGACCACCCGGCTGCCACGGACGGGACCTGCAGCCTTTGCCGAAGTCGCAGTGTGTGCTGGGAACGTGAGCCCCTGGGTGGTTAAAGCAGTCTGGAAAACTTGAGAATGTTTTGCATTGTTTGAAGTAATTTAACTTCTTGACTTTTCTGGAATCCAAGCTATGGTTTAAGAACCCTGGAATAATTTGGCTGTTTGTAAAGCAAGTGTGACTTGACAATCTGCTGTAAACGTGGTTTCAAAACTAGTGAGATCTTGCCACAATTAAGCTGCTGAGAGAAGGCATTATTTCCTGTGGTTGATGTTTGCTTCTGAAGAGGCCCCCATGCATTTTATATGTGTGTGGGCATCTTGGACGAGAGAAAAGTCAGATAACTGGGTTTTTGTTTGCTTGCTTATTTTCAGGTGCTGGGGATCAAACCCAGATGCCTCACACATAATAAGCAAATGCTCTGCCACTAAGTCAGCTTTTACAAAGAATTTCCTTCAGCCAGTCGTGGTGACTCACACCTGTAATCCCAGCACCTGAAGAGCTGAGGCAGGGGCATCACCACTAGCTTGAGGTCGGTCCATTGCCCAGTCCATAGAATGAGACCTTGCTCCAAAAGCACAAAACAGTTTCCTCCTTATAGGACCCATCTCACAGGACATACGCTGTGCCATTTCTGCAGTGTGTTGTCGAGAAATAGAATGCCAAGAACTCCTGGGGCAATGGGAGCCCAAGTGGTGACGTGGTGACACCTGTAACACGGTGAGACCTTCCATGGGCCAGAGTTGAGAGACTCGGGAAATAATCTGCTGCTTTCACTTGAGTTTGCCCTTCCTCAAGGAGTTGCCATGTATCTCTCTCTTACACTGTGATTTAACCAGTCGTTTAATTAGCTGAGTGTGGTGGCTCAGACCTGTCATCCTACTCCTTGCGAGGCAGACATAGGAAGGTCAAGACTGACCAGGTCCACAGAATGAGTTTCAGGCCAGCCGGGGCTGCAAAGAGATCCCATCCCCCGTAAACAAACAAACAAACAAACAAATAAATAAATAAATAAATAAATAAATAAATAAAAATGTGTTACAGTAGAGGAATAAGACCGTCTGTGGGTTACATTTGACCAAATGGTGCTGGTGAAATGGCTCTGTAGGAAAAGTACTAGTTATACAAGCCTGGTGACCTGAGTTTGGTCCCAGGAACCGTTGGTGGAGGAGAAGCCAATCCTGAAAGTTGTCCTCTGGCCTTTAAACTCTCAACAAGACGCTCTTGTGTGTGCACCGACACATGTCACACGCACACCACACAAATACACACAATACTACAGTTTTTCATTGTCCAAATAGGAAAAAGATTCTTGTTGGTCTTGGATTATAGTTCAGAATTGTGATGGGATTCAAATGTCAAGTCGATTTCTCTCTAGGTATTATTAAACAGATTAATTCCTGCAATAAAAATGAAGTGTTTTCATGTGGCAATACTTCTCCTAGAGCTCCTTTTGATCAATTGGTACCTTTGTTTTTGGTTTTTGAGATAGGACCTCATGTCACTAGGGCTGGCCTTGGAATCTCTTGCTTCCATCTCCCAGTTAGTGAGATCATGAGTGTCAGGTCTCTCTGCCTAAAATTAGAAAGACTTTTCCCTGAGGGCTTATGAGTGTGATCTCTGTTCTGCAGGTTGCAGTCTGTAGCCCTGCAGAATTATAACATAATTATATCGGGATATGATGGATGCAACCTAATAGGCAAGGACTGCATTCAATCCTACAAACTCTTGCTTGTGAACAGTAAATTCCTGTTTCCTTTAGATACAGCCACTGCAGGGGCATTCTAGAAGTTTTCCTGCCCCAAGATAAACATATACATGCCTTCTGCCAGTAATATGGTGGAGTCCCCAAACAGTAGTAACATTCACATATTGAAACCACATCATACTTAACAGTTGTCAGGGGCTGGAAAGATGGCTCAGTGGGCAGGTACGCAGACGGAGCCTGCAGAAGATGGAGTTCAGTTCCCAGACCCAGCTTGCCGTTCCTTTTGACTATGAATGAAATTGGTGCCTATCCCAGATCTGTGACCTTTCATAACTCTCTTGTGACATGAACCCCAAATCCTTTGCTCATCCTTCTCCTGGGATACTCTTGTGATTTTTTTTTGTTGTTGTTGTTGTTGTTGTTGTTCTTAAGGCAAGGTCTCAGGTAGCCCAGGCTGGCCTCGAACTCCCTCTGTACTCATGAATGACCTTGAACTTGTGATCCTTCTCCCTGCATCTCTCACGTGCTGCGATTGCGGGCGTCCCTGTCTCTGTCCCCTTTGTGGAATAGGAATTGAGCTCTGTCCTTCGTGCATGCCACCAGCCGAGCTGTATCTCCAGCTCCTTTGTTCTTCTCCCTTTTTTGTAAATCTTTAACATGCTTATTTTTAATTTAATGACTTTAATAAAATTATTGTATAGTGTACCTACACAGAATAGAACTCCTTAAAATATACATTTTTTTATTAAATCTTATTCTTTTTCTTTTAAATAGGTTTTTAATTTTACTGTGTATAAATGTTTTGCCTGCTTATGTGCCTGTGTAGTGTGTGTGCCTGGTGCCTGTGGATACTAGAAGAGAGCATCAGATCACCTAGAACTGGGGTTACAGGTGGTTGGGGGCCATCATGTGAGTGCTGGGAATGAAACCCAGGTCCTTTGGAGGAGCATCCAGCATGGTAACCACTGAGCCATAACTCTGGCCCCAGGGCATCTGATTCTGATCACCTCAGCTTCCTTCTTCTCCAAACATTTATATTTTCACTCAGCAGTCAGAGATCTTTCTTCCTTGCACATTGTTGTTTTATGTTATGTGTGTGGGTGTTTTGCCTGCATGTATGTCCATGGACCATGTGCATATCTGCTGCCTGAGAAGGCCGGAAGAGGGCATTCAACACATTGGAACTGACGTTACTGAGGGGTGGGTCACCATGGGGTGACAAGGCATCAAACCTGGATCCTCTAGAAGAGCAGCCAGTACCCTCTAACCACCGAGCCATCTGTCTAGCCCGAGTTCTAAACCACAAATTAGGTCATGTGACTGCGCACACACTTCCTTCTCTAATCCGAAGGGCTGACAGTGAAGGTCCTTCGGAAATCAACTCCTCTCCCGACTCCACGCTTCTCCCTAGTTCTCTGCTGGCGCTGCTTTGCTCCTGCTTCGGTGGTTCGGACTGCCAGGCACGGTACACCTCAGGGCCTTTGCGCCTGCTGTTCCCTTGGCCTGGAGTGATCAGCTCTCCCATAGTCTTCATCCCCTCTGTGTCGTTGAATGAGGGAGTCGCACTCCCCGGAGCAGTGGCTCATCGGTGCCTGTCATCGTAGCACTTGGGCAGCCAGGGCAGGAAGATCAAGTCTGGGGCTGTCTCGGTGACACACGGAGTTCAAGGGCGGCCGGGGCTGCAGGACACCCCATCTCAGTCACAGCCACCTGCAGCCTCGGTGTTGGGTGTGCGGCTCAGGGGCATAGTGTTTGCCTAGAGTAGTCAACCTCGAAGCTGCATTCTATCCCAGCACCCCAAATCAGTCGTCAGTCAAAACCACAGCCTCCTCCGAATGCTGGCGCGGCGCGTGCTCACCTTCAGGGCTGTAGCAGTCCCCAGCACCCACGGCAAGTGGCTCACAACTGCCTGCCTACCTCCAGCTCCAGGGGAGCTCACACTCCGTTGGCCCGGCACATGCAGATTCCTAAACGCAGGCATGCACGCACACAGCTGAATCTCTTTTGTAACGAGAGAAATTCACAGGGAGCAGCTGGGCATGGCGGCTCATCTCAGTAACCGCAAATACCCAGGAAGCTGGAACAGGACTGCTTCAGATCTGGGGCTAGCCTTTGCTAGAGCGAGAGAGACCCCGTCTCAAAAACAAAAAGTTGTAACTGAATACTCTTCTAGCCCAGCCTTGTGGTCCAGGCCTGTCATGTCAGCATGTGGAGAATCAAGAGTGTGGATCGCCCTCCGCTATACAGGGAATCAGAGGACAGGCTGGAACAACAAAAGACGCTATCGTATGCTAACTGAAAATGTGACTGATTCACCTCTGCCCATCTGACAGCACCAAGCTGGAGGCAGAGCCCGTACTACTGGGGCCATTGGGGCAGAGGGCAGATCCAGACTAGAACACCAGTGTACAGAGTGCTGCTACTGATGATATCATTGGGGAGGCCCTGGGGTCCTTTAATGAGGAAGAGTATACATTTTAAAAATTAATTTTATGCATCTGAGTGTTTTGCCTGTATATATGTATGCGTGTGCACCTGTACGTGCCTAATCCCCGAGGCCAGAAGAGGGCATCCGATTTCCTGGAACCCACAAGGTTTAAGGAGAGAACCGACTCCAGCACATTGTCCTGTGTCTTCCACTTGACTGTCGTGGTACAGGTGCCCACCCATAAACACACACAATAAATGTAATTTTGATGAAAGGTCCCTTCTGGACCTGAGAAACAGCTCAGTTGGTAGACTGCTAGCCTGTTATGCGTGAAGCCCTGGGTTCTGTTCTCCACGGTGCATACAGCTGGGGATGGTAGCACATGCCTATAATTCCAGCACTTGGGAGGTGGAGGGAGGAAGTGCAAAAAGCCACCACCACCCCTACCCCCCAAAAGCAAAAAACCAGATTCTCCTTCTGTCTCCTATGTGCAGAAATACAGCCACGAGCCACCAAGCCTGGACATTTAAGAATTAAGTGAAGGGAGCTGAAGAGATCATTCTCAGTTAAGAGCACCAGCTGCTCTTCCAGAGGTCCTGAGTTCAATTCCCAGCAACTTTATGGTGGCTCACAACCATCTCTAGTGAGCTCTGATGCCCTCTTCAGGCATAAAGGCATACATGCAGATAGAGCACTCGTACATAAAATAAATCTTAAAAAAAAAAAAAAAAAAAAAAGATTAAGTAAAAAACTATGAGAAGATAACTCCAGACCATGAGAAACAACCTTTACATATAGAATCATTTTTCTTTTATTAAAAATAAATTTAATGGATAAAAACGGTACATTAAAAGGAACCTCGTCACATTTCAACATGTGTATATTTGTAGTGTTTAACTATCAGGTGATAACGATCTTTTCACACACTTGTCTCCCTTTCTGGTGACAACTTCCCAAATGCTTTCCTGAAGCTTTTTGAAACAGAAAGTCCATTATCACTGTCTGTAATCACCCCACTTTGCAAACGGACAAGGTACTTTGTGTTTGCTCTCACTGTAACTTGGTGTCATTTAGTAGTCCCTTCCTCTCTCCCTTGTTCAATGTGAGGGCCTGAGATGGCTCCCCAGGTAAAAGGGCTGGCCATGCAACTGTTACCTAAACACCAAATGCAATCCTGGGACATATGATGAAGAAGAGAAGTGTCTCCTGACCGCCACACTCTATGTCTGTGGCTGTCGCACTCTCTCTCTCTCACACACACACAATTTTAAAAAATTGCTTTAAAAACCCACAAAATTTATCGAGACATAAAGGCATTTGCCTGCAATCCCAGCTACTGGAGAAGTGGGGAGTTGGGGCGAAGTGTGAGAATAACAAATTCAGGATTAGCCTGGACAACTTAACAAGACCACATCAGAATCAGACGTAGTTGATTCAGTGTGGAGCACTTTCATAGCATGCTCAAGGCCCTGAACCCAATCCCTAGTACTGGACCTGGAAGAGAGAGAGGGAGAGAGGGAGGGAGAGGGGGAGGGAGGGAGGGAGGGAGGGGAGAAGGAAATGGGGGAAGACAGAGGGTAACACTGATGATTTGATGACTAAAATGACAACCCGGGAACATTTTTCAACTTTAGAACTCTGCTATTGTTAATCCAGTTCCTTATTAATATTTAAAATGTTTCTGAGATTATAAGGAAACTAGGCTATCTTCAAATACAAATTTCAAAGGCTGGGTATCTGTGGGACAGAGGTTGGACGGTCAGGAATCCAACGTCAGCCAAGGTGAGCCTCTACTATGTATCAAGTTTGAGACTAGCCTAGACTACATAAGACCCTCTCAGATATAAAATAAATACATTCTTAAAACTCCTGTCTCTTTCTGAGGTGGGCTGGGCTGGCGATGCAAGGCTGCTAGGCCAGCCCCTTGGGAGTGCTGAGCCAGGATGGGCTGCAGAGTTCGTTGCGTCCAGCCCGGTTGACTCACCAAGACTCTCTCACAGATGGAAAGGTTGAAGTCTAGAGCTCGATGGTGGATCCTTGGCTAGGCATGGGGTTTAAGAGCAAAACTTTCGTCCGATTAAGACTTAGAGGTTTAAAAATGCATCTGTTGCCTGACATGTTGATCCATGCCTGTAAACCCAGAGTACAGGAAGCTGAGATAAGGTTGTGTACAGTAGCCAGACTGGTCAGCATATCCAGTTCCAGGCCAGTCAGGGCTAGCAAGAACTTGCCTCAAAAATAAAATAAAATAAAAATAAAAATATAATAATAATAATAATAATAATAATAATAATAATAATAATGTAGGGCTGAGAAGATCACACCTATAATCCTAGCACGAGGTAGTTTAGAGGAGCACAAATTCAAAGTTCTTCTCAGCTGTGTAACAACCTTGGGGCCAACCTGGGTTGGGGGCAAGGGAGTATTGCCCATGAGCAAACTTGTTCTAGTTAAGGCTACCCTGTGAGTTTTCACTCAGCATCTGTGGCAGAGCAGAGTCTAAGAGGTTCTGAATTATTTCCTACGTAGAAATAAGGGCAAACAGGCTCCGCAAAAGTGTCCCTGATAGTACAGATGTGAGATTTCTCAGGCATCCTATAAAAGGAGACCTCTCCCAGCTCATAGTCCAGGAAAATGCCAATGACTCTGGGCCTTGTGGCTTTCAGCTGAGAACCCTTTGGGTCTCCTGAGACCTCGAAACAGTCACCCTTCCAGACAATCCTCCAGCACCCGGGAGGGATCAAGGACTGCCTTGCCCCAGTGGACAGATTGGCTTTGCAGATCCCAACAGCCCACTCGGACTTCTCTCCTACCTTTACCGCCCAGAAATGTCTCCCAGAACTAAAATTTGGAAACCCCAATACAGCATGGCTCTTGGTAAACCTTTTTAAAAAATCAGGAACACGTTGTTTTTTCTTTGAAAATGTAACACATTTTTTATCCTCAGAAACAAGCAGGTTTTGATGGGCTGTGTCCGGGTCTAGAGTTACTTGAACTGTAAATTGCTGTACAATTTTCTGTAGCGCTGAATACTGGAGAGGAAAGTTGTATGCTTCTCTTCTTAACTGAGGTGAAAAGATGTCTGGGTTACTCAGACTCTCGTAATCCTTGTAGAAATTCTTGACTGTCGACAGCAGATCTACTTCTGAGGACTTTTTGCCCGCCAACGCGAGTTTCAGGAGACTTTTGAGTGTAGAAGTCCGTTTTTCAAATGCCTCTATGTTTTTGCTCAGTTTCTGCCTGACACCCTTCTCCTCCTCTTTTAGCCTGGAGAAAGCGGCCTGCTGTTCCCGATCTAAACACCGGTTGAGCCGCTCAAATTCAGAGTTCAGTTCACACCTCT